GTGATGAGATTAATGTCAAATTTTGCCATTTAATATTAAAAAAGATATGTTAATTACAAACATTCAAGTAAAGTTTAGAAAAACTCATTAAGTAAAACCACCTACCCAACCTCTCCCTGCTGCTTCTTCATAAATGTGCTTCCCGTCTTTATTTATAAGCTACATCATTTACAGGTTTATCTTCATACTTCATACTCTCATCTCTCTTTCTTGCGTTTGCTGCTTTGCTTCCATGGCATTTCGTCTAGCTCTCTTTGTTCTATTTGCTCTTGCTGGGGTTCAGCTCTCGTCATGCCAAGTTTTGAAGGGAAAAGTCTCTTGCCTTGACTGCAGTCGCCATTATGATCTCTCAGGTTGTTTCCATACTTCTTTTAAACGTTACAGGAAATAACTCTTATTTTACGTATTTTAAAAATTGTAACTTAAAAGAGAGTTTGAATTTAATTTAAAGCCTCATGCTTAAGTCATAGGACTGTGTTACTTGACTGATAGTTCCTAGTTGACAATAATGTTTTTGGTTTCAGAGATTAAGGTGACAGTGAAGTGTGACAAAGTGAAGAAACTTGCCATGGCAACCACCGTCTCCGGTGGTTCCTTCACGGTCAGCCTCCCAACTTCTTCACACACTGATTCAGAACCCAACAAGTGCCTTGCTAGGCTTCTGGGTGGCCCTAACCAACTCTATGCTACAAAGAAAAACATGGTGTCAGAGGTAGTCAAGGTCCAGGAACACTCCAGCTCCTACACCATCTCCACTTCACTGGCCTTCTCCACTTCCTGCCCTCAGACTCAGAAAGCCACATGTGAAGCCCAAACCAGGCTCGGATCATCAAAGACCGTTGATCTGCCAATTCCCCGCGAATGGGGCCTTGCACCTACTAGCTATTATGTCCCCTTCTTCCCCATTATCGGCATCCCTTAATTAGATAGTCCATAAATTTATGTCACATAAAAAAAGTATGTCTATTTTCATGTGCCTTAGAATTATAAGAATAGTTATATATATAAAGTTTTACTACTATAGTGGTGTGTGCTATTTAATTATTATGATTAGAACCAGGTGTGTAACATGTTATGTACTTTAAGTTGATTAATAAAATAGTTCATATATAGTTTTTGTAAAAATATTGTAAAAAAATTATAGATATGAATTTATTATCTTTGTAAAGAAAGATTTATAAAGTAATTAATTCAATTATTAGTAAAAAGGCGTTTCTTCACCTGTATTTCTTCACTTGTATCTCAAGAGTTCAACTTTTTTTTTAATGAGAATTTTAATTAGTTAAGTCTTTTTTAAAAAAAAAAACAATTTAGGTTAAACCTCAAAGATCCTTTAACTATTATATGGATTCATCTTTGAATTAAAAAAATCTTCAATTTGCTCCATTAACTATTATACAAATATCTGATTTGGTTCTTATTATTTATTAATTTAATTTGAAGTTGAATTTTTTGTTAAAAAATAATTGTGTCTGTTACTTAACAATAAAAAATGATTACTTAATTGTCACGTGGCATATTAATGAAGAAACGCATCACTTTTTTAGTATAAAATAATTAATTTAAGATCAAATTAATAAATAATAAGAATAAAAATAATAATTTCTTTAATTTAAAAACTAAATTAAATAACTGTAATATAGTTTTAAGAGATCAAATCAAAGATTAAACCAACAATTTATTGCTGATTGCTAACGTGTAGGAAATCATTCAATGAGGGTTGACTAAAGTAGAAAAAGTCCGATGACCAAAAATATAGGTGGGGCAGCAAACACAAAATGCTGGGCCTTTAGAAATTAGGAGGTAGATGATCAAGGCAACTTGGGCAAGGCTGCTACATTAATTTTGAAGCACAAATCCAAAACCCGAAATGAATCCTCTACCAAGTTTAAAACTAAAGGTGCGTTTAAAATTGCAGTTTGGGTTTTTTTTAG